CGGCACATCTCGAGCGTAGCACCACGAGAGCTGCACGTTCTTCTGCTTGGCAAACTCCCTCGCGCGCAGGTTCGTCGCGAAGTACCTGGGCACGTTGAAAGTGTACAGAGCAGGTGCGCCGCTGAATGGGTTCATGCGAAGCTCTGGCGCCAGCGAGTCAGTGTCGGTCAGAACCCTGTGTCTCTTGCCTCGCTCCGCACGGCACTCTTCGCACCCGCCCTCTGGCGAGTTCAGAAGTGCCGCCATGTCGGCGCACCCTCCTGTGAAGCGCTCCCCCAAGTCTTGCGACATGGGCCCAGTACTGGGTCGTCCACCACGTCGTCGTTGCAAACGCACTTACCCGCGCTCGGGGACGTCAACGTCGGGAGCCCGTGGAAGTAGCTGCATCCTCCATGCTGAGATTTCTAACTCTGCACTGGCCCAGAAACGAGTTGCTCCATGCATCGCCACACCTCATCAATTCGGTCAACGGCCAAAAAGATCGCACGCTATCGACGCCGTCTTGCCAGAACAGCTCCAAAGCGCGGCGCGCGCACCCTGCGGGCACGCCCAGAGGGTTGGATGCCAGGAAGGTGCCCGCCACGGGGTGCAACTGCAAAAAAATCACCGCACATGACCACGTTCACCCCCCGAAGGCGCGATGCAATTCCCCCGCTCTCTTCTTGTGCGTGCCCCTCGCACGGACAGCGGCACTGACCACTCGTTCCAGGGTGCCCAGCAGCTCCGCGGACATCATGCTCACCTGGAAATGTTGCATACAGAACATATCTCTTCTTGTGTGTGTGCGCTGAGCTATGCTCATTGCCTCGACAGATCTTGCAAACATGGAGACCCCTGGGGCGCACTAGAGAATTATCAGAATTTGCCCAAGGGCCGCCGTTGAAGGTGACGAAGAGCCCGAACGACTCACACCACGTGCAGCCCGAACGGCTCACACCAGGACGAGGGGCCCGAACGACTCACACGACCACGAACTCCAACGCGACTCGCACCAGGAGGAGCTCGAAGGCCTCACACCAGGACGAAGGGCCCGAAAAACGCACACCAAGAGGAATAGCCCCAAGAATCCACACACGAGGACCCCGAACGACTCACACCACGTCGAGGGCACTCAACGATGTACTCCATGGAGTGACTCGTTCGGTGCCCTCGGGACCTCGTCGATGATGATCACGCGCAGGGCCCCGCACTTCATGGACTGCTTGTGCCTGTCGCCTGTGGCATTCCCGTCGTCGTTCCGCGCTGGGATGCCGCTCCAGTGGTGCACTGCGTGGCCGTTGATCCGCGCCGCCATGGCATTTTGAAGCGCCAAGCACACGGACTGAACGCCGTGCTCCCAACCGAGACCTTCCTCCATGAAGTACCGCATCCAGCCAATGGCGGCACTTTTTCCGGTGCCCGGAAATCCGTGCACTACGTCCAGCAGAGGCCCCTCGGAATTCTGGTTCACGTTGCCCTGCTGCTTCTCCAGCCACTCAATCTTCAAACGTCGAACAAAGTGTTCGAGAAACTGGCGCTGTTTCTCGTTCGGGACCTTCGAGCTCGCCAGTATGGAAGCAAACGCTTTGTCGATGCTGGTGAAGCCATTCCCTGCAGGGTTGAACGAAGCAGCAGCATCCCGCTTCTCGTCGAAGGGAGCATCGCGTGCCTTCTGGCTCGCGCCACTCGCGGATAGAGCTGCGAGGTGGTCCTGGTGCGCATCCTCGAAGATATGTCCCGGACATGCACGGCCGCCAGCCTCGACGCCAGAGGGTTCTGTCTTCCACACTCGCTCTCCGATGCGGTGGCTTTGTTCATACTCGTGCAGTCGGGCACTTTTCTTCACCCGGCTGTTCTCCGAAGCTTTCACCTTCGCTGTCGCCGAGGCGGTCCACTTCTCGCCGAGGCTGTCCTCTTCTTTAGCCGTTTGGAGCAGTTGTTGAAACTTTCCACCAGGGAGGCTTAGCGGAGGCATATCTTGCTCTTCTTCCGACGCATCTGCCTCGCTCTGATCATCTGCCGCCTTGCCAGACGACGCCATCGTATTCAGCAGGAAACTCTGGATGAGTTTCGACGCTGCCTGGCTGACCACGTTCCCGCGCACGTACTCGTCCCAGGCGGTCTTCCAGGAAACGCTGTCCAACGTCGATGGCGTCCCTGTTGAGGCTGTCTTCTTGGTCAGCCTACACGAAGCTCGAACTTGGGGCGACTGGTGCTGGGCCTCCTGCCAATGCCGCAGCACCGTTAACTCCATCCCCAACATACTCAGGTGAGGCACAGTCACGTCTCCTCCATAGAGCGTCCAGGGACGGAAAAATAAACTGCAACACTGAGCGTTGTACGTAGAACTTTTGTGTACGCTGGGCATGGGCAAGCCTTCGATGACCACCACGTCCGGCCTCGCTTTCCTCACCAGAACCCATGAGTGGCAGAAGACACCTGCGTCCTGCGGAAACACGAAATACTCGTCGGCCTCGGGTGTCACTGCTATGTAATGCTCTCCAGGCTTGGCGGCGATTTCCCCATCCTTGTACTGTTTGCTCCTGATTAATTGTTGGCCTTCTTTTGTCCACGCAGTTCGCGGTGCCAGGTTGCGGTTCAAGTAGTGCGTCGGAACCAGTAGTGGTTCGCACCTCCACTGCCGCAAGAACTCGTACGCCGACAACAACTTCCAAGGGTGCTGCACCGGGCGAAATCCGTAGGAGTCGAACTCGTTCACTCTCGATCGGTCTGTCCGCACGTGAGGTTTGCGAGCCGGCGGCACGTACGTCGTCACGCTGCTGTCCTTCATCTGCGACCCATTCTGGGATGTTTCCAACTTGTTCATCCACGCCCGCCCATCAATCGTATGCTCGTGGAAGGTCCGGATGCACTCTGCCTTCAGAAGGTCGCTCTGGTCCAGATTACAGCACAGGTTGCACACTTCCACGGCGCCTCGGTACGTGCTGTTCATCTCGAGTCCCACCAGCCCTTTGGGCGTGAGTGGTTTAGGGAGCCCGCTCTGTTCTCAACCCCCCTTCTTCCCCTTCGGGGAGGGGTTTACCCCCCCACCTCCCCCCTCCCCCTGGGCCTGGAGAGGGCGCCCCGCGGGTCGTTGGAGGGGTCTTTTTCGACTCCTGGGAGGGCTAAAAAACGACGACCCTCACGAGGATTCTGGCCCCGACGGGGGGGGCTGAGAAAAAACCCTCTCCTCTTCTATGAACCCAAAAACATTGATTTTACTATGGTTTTGGGCCCATTTTGGGCTTCTGAGGGGGCAGCGCTCATCGTCCTTCATAGCAAAATCATTGATTTTACGAAGGTTTTGGGCTCATTTTGTCCTTCTCGGGGGGCAGCTCTCATTTGCGCTTCTGAGGAGGTCGCAAGAGGCCCCAAGATGGCCCCAAGAGGCCCCCAGGAGGCTCCCAAGAGGCCTCCAAGAGGCCCCCCAGAGGCCCCCAAGAGGCCCCAAGACGCCACCAAGAGGCCCCCAAGAGGCCCCAAAGAGCCCCAAAGAGGCCCAAGAGGCCCCCAAGAGGACCCCAAGAGGCCCCCAGAGGCCCCAAGAGCCCACGAGGCTCCAAGAGGCCTCCAAGTAGGCACACGAGAGCCCCAACGACTCACACCAGGACGAAGCGCCCGAACGACTCACACCACGAGGAGACCGAACGACTCACACCAGGACGAGGGCCCCGAACGACTCACACCACGAGGAGCCCGAACGACTCACACCAGGAGGAGGAGCCCGAACGACTCACACCAGGACGAAGGGCCCGAACAACTCACACCACGAGAAGCCCGAACGACTCACGCAAGGACGAAGAGCCCGAACGACTCAAACCACGACGAAGAGCCCGAACGACTCACACCAGGAAGAAGGGCCCGAACGACTCACACCAGGACGAGAGGCCCGGAGATATGCGGGGGCAGGCGGAGACACGCCTGAAAAACACGACTGTCGGTATGCTCCGCAAGAGTTGCTGGTTTGAGATGGGCTGGTGGGGATACGCGAAGCGTAAAGAATTACCTCAGGCCCAGGAAGAACTACGGCAGATATCGCCCTTGGACGAGCACTAGCAACGCACGTACACTGGGGCATGAAGCATGGAATCACAGTGCTTTCCATTTACCTACATGACAGCCAGGGACTATCATAATCCAACGTAGCGGTCCTCAGACAAGTGGCAACTTACGTCTGCGAGTTAGAAGCAAGAGGTCACCCGTGGCTTATTGCTGGGGATTGGAACATGCCAATTGCTGGTCTACGCCATTGGTTCAAGTCCATTAGAAGCATAGCTGTCCACCCGAATTACCCTACTTGCTGGCAATCTAAGCCTGGAAGCATGTTAGACTACATGTGACTACATCCCAAAGTAGCATGTCGAGCAAGGCGACCAATTGCACATGAAAGCTCCGACTTGTTTCCTCATCTTCCAGTACGGGTACGCGAAGCTGAGCATGTTATGTGGATACGAACGCCCGTGCAGCCTGCCGCAGTTGACACGATACCGAAGCCAGGGTGTGCTCGTTACCCGCCTGTGGTGAAATGGGACCACGCACGGTAGCTCGTTGAGGCCGCTACCGACACCACCGCCTTGGCGCCAGCCTGGGATGCAGTTTATCGCAGATTGAAGAGGAGCTGTTGGACAGACATGATGTCATGGGTGCTGGTCGAGATCGGTATCGCGGCAGGGCTCGCCCTCCAACTTGGACTTGGAAGCAAGGCTTTCCACCTGAGCCACGACCACTGCAGAGACTCCAGGCGTATAAGTTGCTTGGGAGGTGCTTCAGACACACGCAATCAATTAAGCTTCGAATGGTAGCTTGCGAGGAAGACTGCAGTCCGATGTCAACGTCCCTGGAAAATTGGGCGCGGTCACTATCTACCTTTGGATCGTGCGCTGACGACAGAACCAAGATTCAGGACTGCCGGGATCCACGAGACAAGGAGCTCAAGCTTGCCTGGGGCCTCCAAGGGTTCTTCCACAGAGCCTCGAAAACACATGGGATTGCTGAGCATTTCGATACGGAAGAGCGCGCGCGCGCTTCGCACGGAGCCCGGGAGCGCGCTGGCCGCCGGGGCGCAGCGCCAGCGCGCGGACCTGGAGGCGGCGGGAGGGGCAGCTCTCGTGCTCCTCCTCCTCCTCCTCCTCCTCCTCCGTAGCCATGTTGGCTCAAGTCCGTAGCGGCTCGCTCGAGGCTTGACATTTTGGCAGGAGGGGTTCGACGGCCCTCACCGCTCTCGCATCTCCCCAATGCCTGCCCAAGCTGGAGGTGCCGCTTTCACTACGTCTTGCCCTGGGAACGTACCTCCCATTCCCGACACATCGACGGTCTCAGCTGGCCCATGGCAAATGGTGGACGTCCGCCAAAGTTTGTTTCTGGGGCAGCTGCACGCAAGGCCTGGGCCACGCCCTGGCTATGTCGCTGGTGTGTGCACCCTCGGACGGGGGAAAAGTGGTGGAATCGAGGTGACCTCACGGAGTGCTCCAGCTGTCACTGCAATCAGGGTGCCGCATTTGGTGGCCAAAAGCCGCTCCAGGCACCGCCGAGTGCCAAGGCCCCAGCCATGGAGTGGGAGCGACAGCGACAGAAAGGAGCCCTCGCCAATGCTGCCATCGAGAAGGACAAGCAGTCATTGCCAAGGACCTGGAGATCGCCAAGCTCCGCGAGCAGGTCCTGGCTGCGAAGGCCCCCACCTCAGGTCCCCAGCCAGGGGTTCCCGACAAGTTGGACGCGGATCAGAAGAGGCTGGCCGAGATCACCACGATCGTGCGATCCCTGGCCTCACGGAGCCGTCGGTCGTTGCCGTTCGCGAAGGACTTGAAGCTGAGCGTGCTGCAATCAAGTCTCGCATCATCGGGAGCAAGCCGCACTCGGCCCAGATGCACCATTTCACCACGCGCATTGATGAGCTGGCAAAGAGCAGTTTCCAGCAAGAGAAGGCCCTGGCTACCCTGGAGGCTCAGAAGGTCGAGCTGGAGCCCAAGATCGAGAGTGTCCAGAAGTCCATCAAGGGCCTCACCACGGACATTGCCGAACTCGAGCACCAAAGGTTCCAGGTCTCGGTCCAGCTACCGACGCCACTTCCTGAAGCATACACGCTCAAGACCATGGTGCCCGCGCTCGATCTGCCAGTCGACAAATTGGGAAAGCTCTTCGAGTCAGCAGGTGCCGACACGAACTTGCTAAACCAGGCCACGGCGTGCTTCGAGGCACTCCGAGGACTTCAAGCGCGAGCAGAAACCAAAGCAGCTCCAGGCACAGATCAGTGCAGAGAGGAAGCTGAGGCACAGCCATCGCAGCCAGATGACCCTTCTCAGGGCAGCGCGGGGAGTACACCACCACCCCCCGCAGCGCATGGGCCGATGGATACTGATGATATTGAGGATCTGCGAATGTTTTATCACGCCTACACAGGGGATGCGCCCCCTGAAGACGACGATGAGGCGCGAGAGACTTGCAAGCGATATGCTGAAGCCGCAGAGGCCTTGGCTAAGCGACGCAAGGTCGACCAGGGCACCGCATGATATGATCATCACCATGTATTCCACCGTGGTGGTTACATTTTTCATCCACTATGTTTGCTCGACGCAGCGAACGAAAAAGGTATGTCAGGAACGCGATGCACATGATGTTTGTGGCGAACTACATGTGCCCTCTCGGCGCGGCCATCAATGGCTCCGTCTTTTTTCGCTCAGCAGCAGGCACTTCTGCAAGATGCGGACCACGTACGCCACTGGATATTCAGACAATGGGCAGTCTAATATTAGATGCAGGCCAAATGCCAGATCATGTTCCGAGGGTGATCTTGGGCGCCCTGACTGCAGACCCCGTGAGGCCCATAGGGACCCTGGTGTGGTGGATTCTAGTGTCGAGCGGTCGCGGGACCCGACCTCAGATGGTCGCGGGACCTCGGGATCCGGGGACTTGGGGAATAGAAGACAGCTGGGCAGAGAGCCTCATGGGACTCCAGGACCCCTGAGGCCCCACAGACAGACGAGCACGACCTTCGACGGCACGGCCACCATCGCCACGCCAGCTCCGAGATCTGTCAAGGGCCTCAGGTGCAGGTATTTGCAGCTCGTCATGGTTGCGGCTTGCACCATGAATGTCAGCCCAGCAAGCGCAACGGCTACTACAATGCCGCCAACCTCATATGATGAGCAGCCGCCACCCGGGACTCCAGAACCTTTGAACGACATCTCAGTGAGCTCAATTGTGACAACCAATGTATCCTCTCATGGACCGCTCATCGACATGCTGAAGTTACCATGGGCCCGATCCTGTGTAATCTGCATCCAAGAGCATCATGCAGATCAAGCTCGATTTGTGGATGTGCAGCATCAAGCTGCTCGAGCAGGTTGCTTAAGACTATGGGCTCATGCACCCCAGTCAGTCAAGGGAGGCACGCATGGCGGCATGGTTATTCTAGCACCATCTCGGGTACGAATCCCACCAGCCCTTTGGGCGTGAGTGGTTTAGCGAGCTTTCTCTGTCCTCAACCCCCCAACCCCCCTTCTTCCCCTTCGGGGAGGGGTTTACCCCTCCCCCTCCCCCCTCCCCCTGGGCCTGGAGAGGGAGTCCGGCGGGTGGTCAGGGGGGTCTTTTTCGACGCCTGGGAGGGCCAAAAAACGACGACCTTCACGAGGATTCTGGCCCCGACGGGGGGACGCACATAGAACCCTCTCCTCTTCTGTGAAGCCAGAATCATTGATTTTACTACGGTTTCGGCCCCATTTTGGCCTTCTGAGGGGGCAGCGCTCCCCTTCCTTCTTCTCAAAATCATTGATTTTACTAGGTTTGGGGCTCATTTTGTCCTTCTCGGGGGGTAGCGCTCATTTGCGCTTCTGCCGAGGTCGCAAGAGGCCCCCAAGAGGCTCCAAGATGCCCCCAGGAGGCTCCCAAGAGGCCTCCAAGAGGCCCCCAAGAGGCCCCCAAGAGGCCCCCAAGAGGCTCCCAACAGGCCTCCAAGAGGCCCCCAAGAGGCCCAAGAGCCCCCAAGAGGCCCCGGAAGAGGCCCCAAGAGGCCCCAAGAGCCTCCAAGAAGCCCCAAGAGGCCCCCAAGAGGCTCCCAAGAGGCCCCACGAGGAGCCCCAACGACTCACACCGGGACGAGGGGCCCGAACGACTCACACCACGAAGAGCCCGAACGACTCACAGCACAACGAGGGGCCCGAACGACTCATACCAGGACGAGGCGCCCGACCGACTCACACCACGAGGACCCCGAACGACTCACACCACGACGCGGGCCTCGAACGACTCACACCACGTGGAGCCCGATCGAGTCACACCAGGAGGAGGGGCAGCGCTCGTACAAGCCCCCCAAGAGGGCCCCCAGAGGTCCACCCATTATGGCCCAAGAGGTCCCCAGATGGCCCACAAGAGATCCCCAGGAGGCCCCACGACGCCTCCAGGAGGTTCCACAGATACCCCCAAGAGGTCCCCACGATGCGCCAAGAGGCGCCGAAGACGCCCTCAGAGGCCTCCGAGTAGCTTCCAAAAGACATCTACTACTACCCTGTCCCCTACGATTACTACTACTTGTACTTCTACTACTACTCATACTCGTTGCACTACATACTGGAAATACCACTAGTACTACTACTACTACTACTACTACTACTACTACTACTACTACTACCACTACTACTACACCCATAAGACTTACCCCTTACTACTATACTACACTAAACTACACTAAACTACTACTACTACTACTACTACTTACTACTATTTACAACTTCTACATATTAATTTTTATTTAAACTACTACTATACCTATACTTACTACTACTACTTTCTATTAATAATACTACTAGCTAATACTACTGTTTGGACCCGGCTACTACTTACTACTAGTACTACTACTTACTACTCTACTAATACTACTTCTTAATTTACTACTACGACTACTACTACTACTGTCTATACTACTACTACTACTATACTACTACTAACTACGGACTACTATCACTACCATACCCTTTCCCCTACGATTACTACTACTTGTACTTCTACTACTACTCATACTCGTTGCACTACATACTGGAAATACCACCACTACTACTACTACTACTACTACTACTACTACTACTACTACTACTACTACTACTACTACTACTACTACTACTACTATGACTACAACTACTACTACTACTACTACTACTACTACTACTACTACTACTACTTCTACTACTACTACTACTACTACTACTACTACTACTACTACTACTACTACTACTACTACTGAGTACGACTACTACTACTACTGAGTACGACTACTACTACTACTACTAATTTATACTACTACTACTACTCTACTTCTAGTACTAGTACTAGTACTAGTACTGCTACTACTTGCTACCTTACCTACTACATTACTACTATACTACTACTACTACTCCTACTCCTACTCTCTCCTACTCCTACTCCTGCTGCCTGCTCCTGCTCCTGCTTCCTGCTCCTACTCCTACTCCTACTCTACTCTACTCTACTCCTACTCTTACTCCTACTCCTAATCCTACCTCACTACTCCTACTTCTCTTACTCATACTCCTACTCCTACTCCTTTACTCCTTACTACTACTATACTACGTACTTTAGTACTCTACTACTGTACTGTAGTTCTAGTTTATTAAGTACTAGTACTAGTACTAGTTACTCGTAGTACTAGTATAGTATAGTAGTAATACGACTACTATTACTACTACTTACTACGACTTACTACTACTTACTACTACTACTACTACTACTACTACTACTACTACTACTACTACTACTACTACTACTACTACTACTACTACTACACTACTACTGCTACTACTGCTACTACCACTACCAGTACTACAACTGATCCTACTGGTACTACTTCTACTACTACGACTAGGAGCCGAAGAGGAGGAAGAGGAGGAGGGAGAGAAGGCGATGGGAGGCAAGACAAAGGCGGTCGTTCCCCAGTCCTACACGTAACCGACTCTGTCGACTCACACGACGGCGACGTCCTGGACCAGAATGCATGTGGTGTGCGTCGTTGGGGCCCCTCGCCCTGGTGTGAGTCGTTCGGGCTCTTCCTTGTGTGAGTCGTTCGGGCCCCTCG